TTTCTAGTGTCTTGTGCTGGCACCAACTCGTGAACTGGCTCAACAAGTGCAGCAGGTAGCTGCTGAATATAGCAGAGCTTGCCGTTTGAAGTCTACATGTATTTATGGAGGTGCTCCAAAGGGACCACAAATCCGTGACTTAGAAAGAGGTACGGATAAGCCTTGATTTGATGCATCTCTCTGAGGCAATGTGAAAACTACTTCAGCTGACTTTAGCCCTTGATTTTTAGGTGTGGAAATCTGCATTGCTACACCTGGAAGACTTATAGACTTCTTAGAAGCTGGAAAGACCAATCTCAGGAGGTGTACTTACCTTGTCCTTGATGAAGCTGACAGGATGCTTGACATGGGATTTGAACCTCAGATCAGAAAAATTGTGGATCAGATAAGAGTGAGTATGAATGGTTCATGCATTTATCACTTGCAGTAACAAAGTGCTACTGTGGTCATTAAAGCAAGGGCAGTGCAATTAGCTTTCTCAGGCTTGCCTGGGTAGAATTTTTTGGGGTTGGGCATTTGATTTGACTGTATATTGATCTTGTACTGACCCTAGTCTCCTTTTCCAGCCTGACAGGCAGACTCTGATGTGGAGTGCCACATGGCCAAAGGAAGTAAGGCAGCTGGCTGAAGACTTTCTGAAGGAATATGTACACATCAACATCGGCGCATTAGAACTGAGCGCAAACCACAACATCCTTCAGATTGTGGATGTGTGTCATGATGTAGAGAAAGATGACAAGTAAGTAGTCAGTGGGGGCAAAGCATTTAATATGCTTTTTAATGGTTAGTTTTAGTTTATGAACTGTGAAACAAATTTGTCTTGATGGATTTTTTTGACACCAGTCTGAGATGACTAAAAGTATAAAATATCAGGCTGTACTTCAGCAGGACAAATCAATCCCAGCTCTAACCATCATCTCTTCATCATAGGCTTATTCGTTTGATGGAAGAAATAATGAGTGAGAAGGAAAATAAAACAATTGTTTTTGTGGAAACCAAAAGACGGTGTGATGACCTTACCAGGAAAATGAGGAGAGATGGGTGAGTAATATGCTGAAACTTCAGTGAGCTGCCCCAGTAGTCTGAACATTCTCTTCATGAGTGGCCACTTAAACCTTTCAAATACACTGACACCAAGTGTCAGGTAAAATCCTAAAATTAACTCTAGAAGCTATTTGGAATTTGTCAGTAGCCCTGTCTTTGGCTAATGAACCTACTCTGTGAATAGTCTGAGGTCATGTTGTGTATTTTCAGGTGGCCAGCAATGGGTATTCATGGTGATAAAAGTCAGCAGGAGAGGGACTGGGTTCTAAATGGTGAGTATTTTAGCAATTTCTATAAGCATGTGTTCTGTTACTTAATGAACAAACTAACAACAAGTTGCTTGTGTTACAGAATTCAAACATGGAAAAGCACCAATCCTGATTGCTACAGATGTTGCATCCAGAGGTCTAGGTTAGTACAACTCGTAATGCCAGTTGCCCAAAGCTATTTAAAGAAAGTCTATTGCTTTCTTTAACCTCTGCATTTTTCTAAGTTTTCTTCACATAAAGGTGCAGTCTTTGTGGCAAGGCCTAGGCATGACAATCGGAGGACTCGAGGGGGATGGAGGACTAGTGGAAATGATCGGCTGGCTGCTTCCAGTCAAATAGAGAGGTGAAAGCTGAGAGCATTGTGTGCCAGTAATCTTCAAAAGGCAAAGATCATCCTTTTAAACTACTACCCCATAAACTGTTCTCTCATGAAATAAGCAGTTTCATTCACAGTTCACTTTGCCCTGGTATTTCTCTTCTCTCCATGCTTTGCATGATTTGCCATGGTGCAGTACTGTTAGTTTTGTGCATACTGTCTGCTGTGATCTGTGGGTCTTTGAATTTCAGTGAGTTTGCTGAAATGTTGAAGAAAATAATTACAAACTGCAATGTTCAATGAAATTTTTTTCAACCATGAAATGGAGAGAGCAGCTTTAAAATGTACTAAGCCTTGTACAAATTGGTGAGTACTGGCACATGAAATCTGAGAAAAAAGCCCACCTCTCACTTTAGCAAGTGGGGCAGGAAAGCAATGGCTTTTCAATGCCTTTGAAAGTCGGAGTTCCTCCACCTATACATAGTCGTCATGTCGAGACCTGCCAGAGAGAGACACATTCTCAAGTGAACCCTGGCTTCTTGGAAGCGCTTGCCTAGACGAGACACAGTGCATAAAAACAACTTGGTGACTTTGGGGGGACAGGTATGTTTTTCTTGCAGCTGCGGTTCAAAGGTCTTGGCAAGACGAGCAGTGTGGCCCCTTTTTTTTTGAGCTTCTAATGAGTGTGTATGTGAAGGACCTTGTATGTTTTTACTCTAAGGTCCTCAAATGAGCACATGAAGAGGCTGCTGTGAGCTTTAGTGGCCCTACTGCAAGAAGCATTCAGATGTCACTTGATGATTTGTAAAGGGGACTCTTGAGTTGGGAATGACAAGCAAATGCATACTCCTTTATGGTAAGGTTTTGGCTCACAGGGTGGGTGATGAGACGGGAACAGACGGAGTGTGCATAACTTTCTCTTCCACAATACTCATGCAGAAATGGATGATTCTAACACTGTTCTTTGCAGCCATTATTCCCTTTAAAGTACTATTGTCTAATGTTTATCTTCGATTTGGCTGTTGTGGTGTGCAAAACTTTGTACCTTGCTTTTTGCCACACTGCAACACTTTACAGATGTGGAAGATGTGAAATTTGTCATCAATTATGACTACCCTAACTCCTCAGAGGACTATATCCACCGAATTGGACGAACTGCCCGCAGTACCAAAACAGGCACAGCATACACATTCTTTACTCCTAACAATATTAAGCAAGTAAATGACCTCATCTCTGTGCTTCGGGAGGCTAATCAAGCCATCAACCCCAAATTGCTTCAGTTGATTGAAGACAGAGGTTCAGGTAAGGACTGTTCTCAACCACAGTGCATAGCTTTCCTCTCGGAACAAAATGGAAACTCAAATTCCACCTCCAGCCTCTCTCCAAAATGGATGTGGAAGGTGGTTTAGCTACCAGTTATGGTGACCTGGAAAGGTATTTATTACAACAGCAACAACAGAAAAACCCCACCCCTTCCCCTGAATGTTCCCTGCTTGTGCTGTGGCGCACCTATGACTTGTGCTGGCCAAAGATGCACTTCTATCTGCTCTGAAATTAAACACTTCAGGGCTCGTTTTTGTGGCCTTCTCATATGGCTAAGGAATAGATGGATGTAAGTGTCCTTTCGGCAAAATGAAAGTGGCTTTTTGTGTTAATGCCACCACTTGTGTTACAGGGGAGAGCATGTGACTCCTCGTAGGTTAGACAGATTAATCAAGATAGTCTTCATCTATACTGGAATCCAGTTAGCAACTGGAAAGCTTTTACGGTAGTTTTGCCTTGCTGGAACAGAGGGAAAGATTTTTCTCTTACTAGCTGAACTCATTTGGTGCTATGCAAAATACAGCCTTTTTGACATGCATATAACTATGTCTTGTCTTTTTTAATAGGTCGTTCCCGAGGTGATCGACGTGACAGATATTCTGCGGGCAAAAGGGGTGGATTTAGTAGTTTTAGAGAGAGGGAGAACTTTGAGAGAAACTATGGTGCACTAGGAAAGAGAGACTTTGGAGCAAAAACTCAGAATGGGGCCTACAGTGCCCAAAGTTTCAGTAATGGAACTCCTTTTGGAAATGGCTTTGCAGCTGCAGGCATGCAAGCCGGCTTCAGGGCTGGTAACCCTGCGGGGGCTTACCAGAACGGCTATGATCAGCAGTATGGAAGTAACATTGCAAATATGCACAATGGCATGAACCAACAGCAGTATGCATATCCTGCCACTGGTGCTGCTCCTATGATAGGTTACCCAATGCCTACAAGTTATTCTCAATAACTTAGTGTATTTAAATGTCTCAGTTTTTCATAATTGCTCTTTATATTGTGTGTTATCAAAACAGGATAGTTATTTAAGAAATGGGAAATGCAGAAATGACTGCAGTGCAGCAGTAATTATGGTGCACTTTTTCGCTATTTAAGTTGAATATTTCTCTACATTCCTGAAACAATTTTTAGTTTTTTGTACTAGAAAATGCAGACAGTGTTTTCAAAGTAAATGTACAGTGATTTGAAATACAGTAACAGAAGGCAGTGCATGGCCTTCCAATAAAGATATTTGAAGACCGAATTTTCTTTCAGATGGCAATTTTCTCAACATGTGCACAACTTTACATTAATGGAATGTCAAATGTTTTTATATTAAATTCTAGAAAGGATTCTCAACTGTGTCTGATTAAACATTTAAGCATATATGAAAACCAGCCTTGCCTTGATTGGGCTAGATTGCTTAGCATGGCAGGCTCTGCTTTGATGGGGAAGAAAAGTAAAGCTGGCTTCTAAGTAACTTGGAAACAGTACTCTTCCGTGTCTCACTAGAGTAGGGCCAGTTTTTGGGAAAGATCCACTAGAGTAATGGTATAGCTAAAAGTCTTGCAAACCAGAACTCTGCAGTGGTGTTGCTAACGAGCTGCTACAAGCGTAGGAGGCTTCTGCAGCACCATAACTGTCGCCTTTACAGGAGCATACGTGCAGGCTAGGCTCGAGTGCAATGTATCTACAGCTGTCAGGCCTTGTGAGTTAGCATGCAGGCTTACTATGAGCTTCAGAGAAACGGGAAGATCTTAGTATTAAAACTTCAAATTATACTTAAACTGGTATTGAGCAGTGATTTCTTTATGGAGGTGGGGGGAGGGAAGTGGGCTGTTGAACCATGAACACACTTCATGGATTTATTTTTTTTTTTTTTCCCAGACTTGTAGTATGTGTAAATGACTTGATCTCAAAGCACTGTCCATGCTGAGCACATCAAGAGTAATACTTGATCCTGGGGTTAAAGTACTTAGTGCTTTCAAGTATGGTGTATTAAAATTCCAGTGAATACTTTTCAGTTCCTTCCTCTCATTTATCAGTAACAATGATTAGTTTAAAGTTTAACAATGCTTGACTACAGCTTTGAAGTATTTAAGGTTGAATCTGCAAGAACTGAGGCAAGATTCTATCTAGGTTTTGAACCCAAGTCAAGAGTCTTTTATGCTCTAGATATTTTTGCTAGTCTCTGGTTAGCTCTTGGTGATTGTTTTTCTCGGAGGCTTAGCTTGTAATATTCTTAACCACAGTCTAATCCTGTCAATTATATCTTTATGCCTCTTCTGTGGAATTCTATCAGTTGACTACTTTTGTGATCATTCACTGTTGCTATGAGAACTTCAGCTGGAGTCCTCAAACACAGTTGAGTCTAAAGCTGTGGTTGGCAATGTGGAAACAAGTCTTTTTTTAATTGGCTTTGCAACATTCCCCCTGCTCAGCGCTGTCAGTGTTGAGGCCAAGGAAGTAGATGATTATTTATCTTTGAAATATGACATGTTAATTGCTAAGTTTCCAGGTCAGTTGCCTGAAACAATGCAAAGGAAATGGAAAGCTTGGGTTTTGTTTTAAAAACTTTAGTATAAAGGTGGATGTAGAAAACTTCTGGCTTGTGCATTGAAATTCACTGTTAAAAGCACCAGTCAAGCAAACAACAAAGAGCCTTTGTCTCCCTTTAAATGGGAGATAATCTGCTTGGTGCTAAGGTGACACCCAGATAAGTATTTGCAAGTCATAGTGGTGGAAAATTGGCTAATCAGGAAATCATGGGAAGAGATGCACCGTGTGACTCTTCAGGTTTTTCAAGGTTGTAGATTTCTTGGACTTATGTCTGCTGCACCCGGAGACGCTGCGCCAAGCTCTCCCGGGCGGGGGCCGTAGCCCGGAGCCGGGCGGTCCGTCTCTGGAAGAAGTGCTGGGGAGCGCGGGGACGCTTCGCGAGAGCCTGCTTCCCGGTAGGTCCCTTGTCCGTCATCACGGGGGTGAGGCGGCTCTGCCCAGTCCGGCCGCCTGCTCGTGTTTTTCTTGCTGGGAGCGAAGCAGCTGCGTTTAAGGGAATTTTCCAGTTGCGTTACAGTGCTGGGAAAGTTTCAGCTGCGTGTCCCCTCCCTGACAGTGTTCAAGGCCAGGCTGAACGGGGCTTTGAGCAACCGGGGCTAGTGGAAGGTGTCCCTGCCTGTGGCAGGGGGGTGGGAGCTAAATGATCTTTAAGGTTCCTTCCAACCCAACCCATTCTATATGATACGCTGTGAGTTTGTGTCCTGTTCAAGGACCCGAGCAGCATGAGTGCTGAAATAGGCTCTGCATCCTTTCCCCTTGTAGTTAGGGAAAGGCACATTAAAATCGTAGCTGCTAAAGTGCCGGAGGAGTCAGGCTACAGACTGCTGAGCTAACCTCTGCAAAACACTAAAGCTAGCGGGACTGCACGTATAACTAGCGTGTGTGTCATATGTGCTACGTTCACCCTTGGTAGAATTAACAAATTAGAATTTTTCCTGTGGCTACTAAAATTAGCAATTTGTCTTTTGACAGGTGCTCTGGCGCAATATGTTAGCTGCTTAGAACTGGTAAACAAAAGACTGCCTTGTGGCCTGGCTCAGATTGGAGTGTGCTTTCACTCTCTTCCAGAAAGCAAACAGCACAATGAAAACCTTACAAGGTAGAGTAATAGAGGGGTTAATCCCCTTCTATACTTAAATCAACTGTTTGCACTTGTTTTCACTTTTGGATTATTTTTGAATGCTGTCTCTTGCTTTTTCCCTGTTATTTTTGAAGGAGTTAACTTGCTGCCCTTGCTATTGTTTAAAGAATAGGCGAAAGGACCACGTCTTTGCTTGCATGGTTTAGTTCTCCTAGAACTGCAGGACAGTGGCTTGATTACTGGTTACGGAAGAGGCTCCAATGGTGGAGAAAGGTAACAGCAGCATATCCATGGGAAATCTTGGCCTTCTCCTTTATTTCAGAGGGGGGGGGAATAGACACACAGGTTGCTTTTATGGCATTATATTATTGCTAGTCCATTTTTGCCGCTGAAATACCAGTATTTGTTGTGAGAAACCAAAAAACTCACTTAAGTTTATGACAGACCTGTAAGTAGTTTATAATGTGACTGGCAGAAAGGCAAATGTTTTGTGTTTAAGTGATTTGAGATGAAAATGCTGCAAAACAACAGAGTTGGGCTGCAACTTATTTTTATAAATTACAAATTTATAAATCAGAGACTTCAGCCTGCATTACAGACTTGATTTTTGTGGTTAATACAGCATGCACTGTAGTGATCACCTCTTATATCTTTTATTTTCAGTTTGCAGTTGGCCCATCTAACTTCAGCAGCAGTGACTTTGAGGATGAAGAAGGAAGAAGAGGATTTAATTTACATTACAGCTTTCCTTGGGGGACAGAAACAATAGAAACATTGAAGAACCTTGGAGATAGCGAACTATTACAGATGTATCCAGGGGATAGTACAAAATTACTTGTAAGCTTTACTGGATTAAAAATCTTTTTTGATAAAGATGATAATGTGAGAGATGGTTTCTTTGCTGGTCGAGTTGCTTGGCATATGACTGTCTTTAATTCTTTTGTTGTAAAAGCAGTACAGATTCTCTGCAGTCAGACCTTCATTTTCAAAAGCAGGTAAGATAGTGTTTTGGTGGTTTCTTTTGCAAGGAGCTAATTCTTTGAAATTATAAATGAGCTATATTGACAAGACAGCTGTTGTCAGCTGCATAGCCTTTACCTGTGAGTAGATGTCAAGACAATCTGTTTTGCTTGTTAAGCTCACATCAAAAAAGAACGTGTAAATGCTTTTTCTTTCTGTAGCTTGTCCAGTTCCATATATGTAGAAGTATATGTGGATTAATGGATTATAAACATTGCAAATGGCTATATAGAAGTTACTGCACTGAGAAGGGGGAATGGACCAGAGGGAAACCTTTCCACTGAATATATTGGAGAGGGACAAACTTCTAGCAAATGGCAATGTTTGAAAAGTCAGACTGAACAGATAAAATGAGAGTAGTTTGGTATTTTGCCAGTAAATTACAACCTTCTCCTCATGATAGTCCTGTCTGTCTTTCCTAGTTTTGCAGTTTATTTCTATACATAAGGCTGAAGAATGTAATGTAACCTACAAAACTGTGGTTTACATAGTGATTTGTCAAAATGTGGGGACAGATTCTTGTGGTCACTTGGAAGTAAGCTACAAAACTCCAAAAGGCAGTCTCAAGTGTGTTTGCCATAGATTTAAATTTATGATCAGAGAGGCAGGACAAGAAAATAATCCCATCCTGCTCTGATCTTCTGCTTTCCTCAGTGTTACAATGATACCTAGTTACTGCTACACTTTTAAGATTGCTGGTAACTTTTTAAAATGAATGTCACTGTATTTTAGTTGTAATAAGGGTGCTTGAGCTTAGTGCCTCATTATACATTTAAAGTAAACAAAAGGCTTTTGGGGACAGTCTTTGAGGTATCTCTTTGTGGTTTTTTTCTCTTCAGGGCCGAGATGGAAGGAAGAATGTTATTCCTCATGTTCTGTCTGTGAGTGGAAATCTGGACCGAGGAGTATTAGCTTATCTCTTTGACTCTCTACAGCTAGTGGAGAATCCGTTTACAAAAAAGAAAAATTCACAGAGAAAGGTAACTTTCTGTAGAAGGTGGAAGGAAGAATGGATGGTGGAAAGCAGGCGCAGGCCTAAGTACAAAACCCACAGACAACGGGGTAAATTCAAGCATGGAAATGTCTCCCTTTTCCACATCACCATCCTCCATTCCCTTCCCAGCAGGTGCAGATAGAACGCTTCTCACTGCCCCATGGGACTGCTGCCATGGTGCTCTTCACCCACATAAGCAATTTTTCTCTCATTTTGAGGTCACCTGTCCTGTGTAACCTTTTTCTCTGACGAGTAGGTAGATTTCTGCCATGCAAGTGATGAAGGAGTTAAGAGGAATTGGAATGTAGCTGTTGTGCATGGGAAACAGGAGATTTTCTCTTCTGGCAGTATTTGAAGGCTGCTGAGAAGAGTAGAAAAAGTGGGCCACAGGTGGTATTGGGGTATTTCCCCAAGGACCATCATTATTCCCACTTTTACCTTGATTTTCTGGAGTTAAAGTGCTTGCTTTCAGACAGCACTTGTTAATCAAACAGCTGTTTGACCTTTTAAGAACAGGCAGTAGACTGGATGGTAACTGTCTGCTGGGCTGTCTCTGATCACTCTGGCTCCGTTAAAGATGGTGGAGCTCTGCTAACAAAATACCTCTTTTCTGGGGCTCAGCCCAAATTGAGTAATTTCTGTCATGCTAACCTAGTTGGCATGTGTGCTAGTTATATAAAATGTAACGCTTCTAATTCAGGGGTTTGCACTATGAGAACATTTTTGCATGTTTAGAACCTCAATTTCAGAGAAAAAAGTAATATTTCCTAGTTCTGTTTAGAATTTCACACTAAATACACTTAGTAATCTGTTGCTTTTTTGTAAAATTTTTAGGTACTTAAGCTTCATCCTTGTTTAGCACCTGTTAAAGTGGCCTTGGATATAGGAAAAGGTCCAACCACGGAGCTGAGACAGGTATGTTGTAAGAAAGTATTTTAATTCTGAGCGTTGACTCTCCATGTCACCTTTTGTTACAATTCAGACATTGTTTATGTTGGGGAAAAATCATGCTGCTACTTTGATTCTCAGAGATTCTCAATGCTTCCACTATGCAGCTTCTGAGTCAAAGGACTACACTGCAGACAGCAGGTAGTAGATGCCTTCCTTGCGTTGGCACACTGCTTTTAGTACTATTTATAGAGTTGATACTTGTTCCATGCAAAATTAAAGAAAATAACACAGTCCCTCTCAGCTTCTTAATCTTTCAGAATTAACGCATGGGTCACATCTTCAGAAGGATTTTTTAGAAATTTTTGCCAGTCCCCACAGAACAGAGGAAAATCACACTGGTATGGTTTTAAATAGAAATGGAGATTTGATTGCCAGGCTGCTTTCTATTTTGAGATTATTTCAGACAGAAAATTAACACCAGCTAGGAATGCTAATACCACACATACTACAGTTTTTTTAATAGTTTCTTTGTATAGGATTTAAAATACTCAAAGTCTCTTTTACTTCTGTTTTTAAATAAACACAGGTTTGTCAAGGATTGTTCAATGAACTGTCAGAAAATAGAATTTCTGTATGGCCGGGTTACCTTGAAACCATGCAAGTATCTCTGGAACAGCTTTATACAAAGTAAGGAGAAACAGTCTTTTGTAAATTAAACTGTGAAGGTGAAAGATGTCTTTCTGAGGATTAGCGAAAATATGCCTGTTGTTAGTAAGAAATCGTCGAGTGCAGTAACCACATGATGTGAAGGCATGTATCCTCAACTGTAAGCTTGGATATAGTTAGATTTATTACAAAGAGCAATGTCAGAGTTCATTTTTTAACTTAAGTGAGGTATAAGCCTTTCACATGTTATTGGTTCTCTGGAACTGTGAAATGCCTTTTAGAGACTCTCCTATTGAAAATAAATGTCTTCAGAAGAGTCATAAGCTTGCAGACCCGTTTCCCACCTATCACCCCCATGTTTGCATATGGACTGGTTTTCTGTTTCATTTTTACGTACTATTTCAAGTAGCACACTGGGTCTAGTCTTGAATTTGAAAGTTCTTCCAAGTCTGGAGCCATTACCATTAGTGTATGCGATAGAATTACGGTGCAGATAAAACTACTATTCCTGTTGAAGGCTTCATATATGATTTGTTGATCAGCAATGAACTTTGAGCATATGTCAGTGGATCTTGAGCATATTGATGAATATTTTTTCCTGAGAGAAAATAAATATAACTTTTTGTTCTGTGCAGTAGTCTTCAAAGTAAGCCTGGCTATTAAATAACAGAAGAAAGATACATTCTGCCTCTACAAAAATACTCTTGTAATAGGTCACCAAATAACATTCTTTTTATGTACAAAAGTAGCTAAATAATTTAAAGAAATGTAGTCAGGAAAGCAGGGAATGGCAACAAGAAAACTGGTGTCTTCACACTGGACTTAGTGCCATATAGCAAAAATAAATATTTACAGCTTATGGTTGTTTATACGTAACTTATCTGAATTTTTCGTACACCAAAAGCAGTAACAGGTGTGCTCTTTTCTTGTCAGGTACGATGAGATGAGCGTTCTCTTCATGGTCTTGATAACTGATACCACTCTGGAGAACGGAGTGGTCCAGCTGAGAAGCAGAGACACTACCATGAAGGAAATGATGCACATTTCTAGGCTAAAGGACTTTTTAACTAAGTATGTAACATCAGCCAAAAATGTATAAACTTAAATTTGTTGAATAAAAGGAATTTCTTAAACATCTGTGCCTGAACTGGCTTCTACGGTGTCACAGACTTAGTGGTTTCTCTGCAAATAGTTCTCCTAAAACTTGGTGCATCTGTTTTCTGTCAAATCTAGACCATGTGGGTCTTCCAGGTTACCTCGAAAAGAGGGAAGCGACAAACTTCTTCCTCATTAGCAGGGCTAACTGTATTTTCTTTCATGTCTCTGTTTTACCATCTTCCTGAAAATACTCCATCCTGACCTAAAAAATCTTTCATTTGTGTATTGCTGTCACAGTTATGGTCTCTGCTGGAAAATGGTATTTTATATAAAAGACTGCCAAATCTTAAATGTTTTAATAACATCATTAAGTATCTTTGTTTGTAGGAATGTATTTGAATCACATGGCGTCAGTTCTTCAACATTTAATCTACTTCATCTTCCACTTGATAAATGCAAAAATCAGAAATACATTATCAAGAGTGCAGAGGAAATAGAAGAAATAGATTAAAGTTTTTGACAAGCGTTTTTGTGGACAAAAAAATGTACATAGAAAGTGGTGGAAAAAGACTAATGTGTGATCGTATTTATCCTGTATGTAAGTGTTGTAGTCAAAATCAGATACAGGAGTTTGCACAGATAGGAAATGGGGTGATTCTGATCTGTAGATTGACTGCATGTCCAGCTGGGTAAGTCACTGTATGAAAGCTGCAACAAGGCATGCAGCCACCAAGTCATTGTCATGAAACACAAGAACTTGCCTTAAAAATTTCTTCTATTAACATGGTGCTTATTTAACTATGTACAGGTTATTTGTAACAATAATACTAATTGCTGCATAGCATAATTATGCTAGAAATAATGCAAGGTTAGCATAGTCTGGCTGTATGACTTTACTGATGGAATTCTACATAAACTGGCTATGGAATAATGCTAAACAACCCAGAAATGTCTAAGAAACAGCCTATAGCAGGATGAAGATTTTGTTTTGGAGTTAACTGTCCCAAAAATTAATTTTAGCATCCTACCCCTAGTCTGAGAGCTGAAATAATGTTGAACTGAGAAACTGCCCTCCTTGCTGCTAGGTAACAGCAGTACAGAGGCCAAATACAAATCCTCCAGCGTTTGCCAATACAGTTGGGATTTTTTTTTTAATTTTTTTTTTAAATACTTGACTAAAGCCTGGTTATCTTATGTTTGCATACAGTCTGGTTTATATTTCCGGAGAATTGCTAAATGTGCAGGAACTTGGGTCTGTTTGTTCATCAGATGCACATAATGCCAGTTTATATATTGCATCCAGCAGGATCTTATCTGACAGTGATTGTGTTGATTTGTTTCATTTGGGTTTTATGGTGCTATTTGGGCAATAAGCTGCTGTTTGTCTAATGGCATTGCTGTTTGGGTCTTTGTTAATTTCGATTTTTATCTGTTTTGCTTTTTCTTTTAAGTTCAAGTCCTTAGAAGTTATGACTTGGGAATTTGCTTGCTAGTAGAGAATGAGCTATATTGTCTCTATATAGCTGTACAAAATAATTAGGCCAGGAAACTAGGATCTAAACATCATCTCATTCTGTGCAGACTTGGTGGTATTTATCACCAAGGATAAATACCACTGAGGACTGAAAGAATCTTTAAAAATGTGATAAATTGTTTTTAAAGATTTTTTTAAAATATTTTTCTTTTTTAAAGATAAATTATCTTTAAAAATGCGATAAATTAATCACGAAAGGGGTCTTACCTTGTACTCAGTCTCTGATGAAGACCTTTGAATAGATGGTACATGCCCTCCTCTCTGCTGAAAGTCAGAATAGCATAATTCAGAATTGCTTTATTTGGTAGATACTCAAGAATTAATATTCCATCAACAGCTTGGTCACTAATAACATCTCTTGCATGGTTTCATAACAAGGCTGTTGAATTTTTGGGTCATAGGATGGTGACAGAGTTTTTATTTGGGTTTTTTTGTTTGCTTTTTTTCCCCTCAAAAGAGTTACTTTAATTTCTCCACAGTAAGTAAGCAATTTCAGTATGTAACTGCTACTATCTAAACCCTGCCTCCCCCCAGCAAAATCCACCAAAAACATGTTAGTGCCCATCAGATGTTCAATAGTATAGCTTGAGGTTTTCACCTTTTTCATCTTCTCTTCCAATAACAGAAAAGTTGGCGTATTCTTCTTCTGGTTTAACAGGATCTAAATTAAAGATGTTGAATAGCAGTTAACCCAGTTACAAGAGACTGACAAGATTTTTTTTTTTGTTTTTTTTTAAATTGTCTTGAAAAGAGCAGCAAGATTCCATACTGACTATAAATCTAGCATACTTTCTGTAGCGTTCGTGGGCCTTATCAGAGCTGCTGTCACTGTCCTTGCAGGCTATGTGGGTAGAGCACTGATTGATATCTGGCGTGAGCAGCTACACAGAGCACTGAGCTAACAGCAGGGCAGCTAGAATTCTGCCTACTGTGTGAACAGGAAGGCAGATTTGGATGGAGAAAATGATTCACTTTTTGATACTTTTTTGATAGTTTGTTTTGGGGCATTCTTCCCTTGAAAATAGTGGCATTTACATATAAGGCACATGTAGAAAACTACAGATAATATCATCCTGGTTTTCATGTAATGTGTTCATTATTGTGTATTTTCTGCAGTTGAAGTAGTAAAATGTTTTTACATAGGTGAGTTGCTTTCTTTTACTTCATAGTTTCAGTTTGAACTGACTTTGAGTCTTGTCAAAGTTAAAAAACGTGGAATAAAGAACTATTGATACTGAACAATTTTGAACAGGTTGCAGAAGCTATGTAAGTTTTATTCCACTACAATTTACACATAGGCCACTTCTGTCTCTTAGTAAATGGGCATTACACCTCTGATCTACTTACTCTCTTTTGTTTTTCTTTTCCTCTGTAATGGCTATTTCAATCCTCACCATGAGTTACCAAATGCAATTCATTTTACTTGTGTTTACAGTAGATTTTTATATAGAACTTCAGTTCATTTAACCAGTTAGTTGCAGTTTTGGTTGAGTGGGTGACAGTGTTGAATGTGGATCCCGTGTGACTTCAAATAATGCCTCTGCCAGGCACAGGAATATTAGCTTGCCCACTGAGTGGTAGTAGGTGTCCCCTTCCACTGCTTTTGTAGTACCTGAAGAAATTTGCTCATACTAGCTATAAATAATATAATAACATTCTCCAACCAAAATCTCACAAGGAAGTTTCATGACTGCAAGGGAAGTAACATGAACTTACCAATCTCTGTGTAGATGACATCGTTTTCAGACTCTTCTGCATTCATTATTGAAGTAAGGGCAGTTGAGGGTCTAGCAGACTGAAGTTTTTCTGCAAATTGTAAGAGAAACATATGCCTATATACATATATCAATTTTTCTTAGAGGGAAATAAACAGCTCCATGGTATTTTTGGAATACTTTGAGATCTCAATAATGTTATTTTCATAATAGGAATTGCTCCTTAACCAAGGGCGTTTTTAATAGCATTTGCTTTCTTTATTAATAATGAGGTCAAATTCCTTCCAACATTTGTGTGTATTAAATTAGATGTTGCTTTGCTTCCCCCATCCCAGCCCTACCATCTAAAAGCTCAGAGGTTTTGCCTTGTCAATGTCTTGTTGTCTATGCTGATTAAGAGGAGACTTGACAACATCCTAAAATACCAAGAGCGTAACTCTACTTGTAACATGATGTTCATACTCTGTATTGACAACATAAATGAGCACCTCTGGAAAATTAAACAGACATTCAAACAACTCACTTGCTTTGTATGAAGGAATTATAAAAAATGGAATTGCGAGAGCAAATCCTATTATGAATAGTATCAAGATGACTCCAAGAGAAATGATCAAGGCTTGAGAGTGGCTTCTTTCTTCTGCCAAAAAAAAAAAAAAGTGTTTATGCAATTAAATGTTTTTTCACATTCTAAGTATTTTCTATAAATTAAAATCAAGACTTGGCATTTCTTTAAGCTTTTGGATTAACTGTGGTTAACCTAACTATGCAGGAGAGTCCCAAGGGCACACTGTCACAGCAGGAAGAAGGGAGTTTGCTGGTGCCGGTTGACTCTCTTTTCCATAGAAAAATGAAACTAGACTCCCCAAGGTGCAGCAAGGGTGGACCAGGGGGTGTCTTGTAAAAACAAATCTTTTACAGTCATCCTTCATGTTCACTTCACTTTATATTACTATTTAGACTGCATGAAATCCTATCTTTTTGCATAAATTTTGAAAAAAAAATCACATTTTTTTAATTGTAAAAAATTGTATTTTGAGCATTGAATTGCAGGGAAAAAAATGTCCGGCTAAAAAACTTGTGTTGTTACAACATTCTGAATTTTGTGTGGTTCCCGTTTATTGACAGTGGTAAAATGCTTCATGCGTGCATACCTGCTAATGTGAAGTTGAAGCTGTTGCTGTATTTTGTATTATTGCGAAAGCTATTTTCAGCTCTGCATTTATAGATTCCAAAGTCACTAGAGGAATTGATAAATAGAAAAATCACAGCTGCTTCCCGCTTCTGCATCTTCACTGGTGTAGAGATGCTTTGTCTTCCTTTGAAGAATATGTATGTGATAGGAAGAGAGCCGTTCTCTGAGAGACAAGACAAAGTCACATTCTGGCCTTTCTTTGCTTGAGAGGTGGGCGAGCTCAGCACTGGTCTGGAAATTGGCTCTGTAAAAAGAAAACTGAAAAGACTGCATCACTGAGTACGGGACAAGCTCCAAAGCAAGGCTCGGAGTTAAGTGGCAACACTGGCAAATGAGGTGGGCACCAAGGATGGAGAGCTCAGTGAGCCAGATCAGAACAGCACGGCCGGCTCCCAAGGAAATAACAGCCATTTGCAGTAAAGCTCAGCTCTGCAGTCCAAAACAGCACCGACAGCAAACAACCCCCTGACTCCTGCGGCTGCAGATAGCCATGTCTGATGCACCGTATGTGCCCCTAAAATGAAATGTGCTGGGAAGGTATAGAGCAAGACATACCTTTAAGGGTGAAGTTGAGACTGTTGCTGTATTTTCCGCCACCGGTGCCGTTATTCTCAGCTTTGCATTTGTATTCACCCGTGTCACTGGCAGAGTTGATAGTTAAGTTAAACAAACCAGGGGTCAGGTCTGGTCTAGTTAAAGTGGATATTTTCTGGCTGTCTTTAAACAGTGTGTATCTGACAGGTGAAGATCCAGAGTCCGAGTGGCAGGAGAGGCTCACGTTCTGGTTCATCACTACATTCAAAGTCCCCTGAACAGACGTGAGCCTGGGATTGGACAGCATGTCTGGAAAGAAGAAACTTTTGAGTGAGTTCAGTGCACCTATCATCCAAAAAACTCTCAGATTTTTTCCCAAAATATGTTGAGGACCAGGCTAAATAGGGGGTTAGATTTTTTCCGCTTCAGGTAGCAGGCAAAAAGCTTTCTATTTTTCAAAATCAGTATGCAGCTTCAGACAAACACTTGGTGAAAAATTCATCTCTTCATACAAAAGGGAGCATATACACACAAAGCCAACATGTATCAAGATTAACCAACAAAAATGTTTTTGAACTACAGCAGCAATGGAAATAAGAGAGATAAATAAGAGAAATTTTTTAAAAAAAGAAAAATATGAGAAATAAAAGAGAAATGTAAATATTATGGGATGTTAATTATAGGAGAAAGTAACCTTATAAGCTAATTGAGAGGTATCACGTGAACCTGAAAGTAAAAGCAGTATTTTATTTGTGGCTGTATGTATACAGGCAGAATTAACCTTGCCTAAGTAGATTGAACTTCTGAATAGTAGCAGCAGGAGCCTTAATGGTTTATCAAATCAGTTTGCTTTTATGAGATTATACAAATAAATTAATAATAAAAACTTGTGATGTCTTTTCACAGAAAATGGTAATAAACTAGTCATGACTAAGATAAATTATGACACTTCTAGAGGGGGAAAATTAGGTTTTAACACAGCAATTTTGACTGTACATACAAGACAGTAAAGTTAACTTTGTATACAAACTTGTACACTGCCTCACTGCACAGACGGGCAAAAGATTTACTTTTACATGAAGGTTTTGGACATTTAAAAATCCCTCCCCGTATTTTGTTAACAGTTGATTTCAGCAATATTGCAAAAGCAGAAGAGAACCTACCTTTGCCACTTGCCGCAGTCTTCTGAATATGCCGAGACATTTGAACTAAGAAAAGAAAAGAAAGCTTTCAGACAAGAAACAGTGGTTCTTGTTTAGAAAGATTTGCAACATATAAGAAGTATGTCCTTGGCTTACCGTAGGAAAACAGCAGAATTGTGAGCAAATACATTTTCTTGATACTGAAGAAGACAGCTGGTGGAGTTAGAGTGATGAGATCTTTGAGGAGTGGCTCTAGGGGTTGAGGAAGTCCTAAATAAGGAAACGGTGCTGAACCTTACGGATGTTTGTGTAAGAACTTTTCTCATATTCCACTTACATTTAGCCTACGGCAGACAGAACAGTGAGCAGTAGAAAAAGCTGTGGGGTGAGGAACAGCAGTTCGGGATACAACTAAATGTTACATACAGCTGTTCTAAGATGTAGCTGACATTAACGGCAGCTTTTCCATGCGAGAGCTGCGTGGTAAAACCATGCTGCCACGCAGCATACAAGACTATATAATTTTTGCAGCACTGTTCTTATAAGGGAATGAGATAACTGATACACATGGAAGAGTCACACGTTTGCTAGAGATAATGCAAGTGATTGTATGGTTGAGACTAAGAGAATACGCAGTACTGGGAGTTTTTTTAGCAGGGATGTATTTTTTTTACAAAATTATATTAAAAAAATATCAAAACTATTGAAGTTTTAAGATGCTGATAAATATTTGTAGCTAACCAGCTTGTTAGGGAAATATTTTGGTCAAATTTCAAATAGTAAGCTGTGAAGAAGTAAAATCTTGTACTAGAGGGTACAAATCTCATCATGATCTTGAGTTCAACACCACTGCAGAAATGAATTTGATGACTAATTTGATCATCTAATGAGTAATACAAAGCTACATAATTACAGTCACAGCAAGTAAATGTTCTTTATTTGTCATCCTCTGGGCAAAGTAAATGTAATCTTCAGCTACACACGGGCAATGCCTTTTGAAGAATTCTAGGCCCTGTTGTATGTGACGTAACTACTAGTGCAGAGAATGCCTTGAAAGTGTTGATCCAATCCTTGACTAATTTCTTGTTTCTTTGTCTCCGGTTTATGAAGGTAACAAGACAAGGCCCTACAGAGTTCGTCCTCTTCTCCTGTGTTGTAGGAGATCCCTCCTAAAGCCTCGCCTGTTGCTGTATTGCAAAGTTTCCTCACAGAAGTTTGTGTGCCTTTGTGTCCTTCCTCCTTGTGGTTTTATTTTTCTTTTGTTTAATTTCTTTTAAGACAACCTCCACCCTGCCCTCACAAATGTTGCTCATGTGGAAATGCTGACAAGTAACCACAAGAGTGGATTTTTTTTTTTTTTTTTTTTTTTTT